AAGAAAAAGACTCACCAAAAAAAAAAAAAAAAAAAGAGACTAAAACAGTGGTGGGCAAAGGACAGGATGCAGCCAAAAATCACACCTTCCTCACTGTGGCTCATCCAAACCTCTCCTGCGGTGGATAGTCATGCCCTCTCAGTCAGGTACCAGGAGTTCTCCCTTGCTACAGTTCAGCAACCACAAAGGAGATGGAAGACACAAGTCACAGGAGAAAGATGGGACAGATGAGTGCAAAAGCACTAGTCCAGGGAAACCCACCCAGGTGAAATCACAAGAAAACAAAAATATTGTGGTCTTTCCTTATCCTTAAGGAATATACTCCAAGACCCTCAGTGGGATGCCTGAATTTCAGATAGTATGAAACACTCATTTTTTCTTATACATATGTACCTATGATAAAACTTATGAATTAAGCACAATTAGAGAGTAACAATTATTTGAAAATAGAACCACCATAATAAATAATAGTATATAATACAAGTTCTATAAATGTGGCCTCTGTCAAAAATATTGTACTGTAGGCACTTATTTTTAGAACACAGTTAACCACAAGTAACTTTTTTTCCTATAGTGTGTGTGACCTCACTGGAGACAGAGAGAAGTGACAAAAGCATTCTCCAGGGATGTGGGCCATGACTCAACTGCCTCTCCTCTATTCTCCCCTTGGGATTTGGGGCAACCAAAGCATTAGACATATTTTTCTTTTTTGGAGAGTTTTTGGGTTTTGTTTGTTTGGTTTTTGCCATAGGGTGCGCCAGAAAGATAGAGCGCGAGAAATCACCCCTCAGGGGGAATGGCCATGCCACAATCCCTTCTCCTTCATTATCTTCTGGGGATCTGGGCACCCACGCACATGCGCCCAGCGAGTTCAAGCCACCCGACCCTGACTTGAACCGCGATCGACTACATGGGAGTTCAGCGACATAGCCATTGTCAACTACTGGTCCCTACCAGGCATATTTTTCCAACCACAGTCAGCCATGTGGGATCCAGATGCCTTAACCTCCACACCATCTGCTGGCCCTAAAGTGTCACCGTTCTCAGAAGTGAATAAAATAACTCCTGTTTCTGAGACCCCCGAGAAAGACACGTGTTTTTCGAAGTCAGTCGCTCATATCTGTCCTTAACCCATGTTAATTAGTCCTGCTGAGCCTTGGATTTCCACCACCACGTCTGGACACGTTCTCGCACTGAAGGCCACGCCCCGTCCCGCCACCGCGCGCAGGACCCGCCCGTTACTTCCGGCGGGGAGGCGCCGTTTCCGAGCTCCCGCTCCCGCGCGCCGCGCCGCTGCACACCACTGCCAGTCAGAGCCCGGCACCCTCCACGAGCTCTTCGCCTCCTGGCAGGCACCTGTCCCTGGCCTTTAGCATTTGGGAGTGAAGATCTGCGGCTGCAGCACTGACCTGCGCCGGCTCCTTCAGCGCGGCCGCCGCCACCACGAAGCGTGGGGCGCCAGAGGCAGAGAGCGACCAGGTCGGGACCCACGCACCGCCGTCCTGAGGGCAGAGGCTAGGGCTCTGCAGTGGGGACAGAACCTCCTCTCTGCCCTCCTACTTCTGTGCCTTCGGACCGTCCCAGCGCTCTGGAACCTGGTATCTGAGCGTCCACCCGCAAACCGACAAGATGTCCGCTGAGAGAAAGATGGCGGAAGTCCCGCCCAGGCGCCGTCCGCACGCCCGGAACGCGCAGCGCAGCAGTCAGGCAGAGTTTAGGCCAATAGTGGCTGCGACGCACGGCGCGATGGTTTCTGGGCAATGTAGTTCTCAGTGAGCTAGTGGCCGTAGCGACGCGCTGACGCCCCCACCTGCTCAGCCGTGGCCTGTCTCTACCCCGAGGGGCGCTGGGAAACTGCCCTGGGGCGGGACCGACAGCGGCTTCGCTCTTCTTAAAGGAGCTGCGCCCAGATTGTGTGGAGTGTTCTCTGTGTGGGTTCTGAAATGTATAGACGTGCGTTCTTCTTAATGTTCCCCAATGCTGCAAAATCAAATGTCACTAAGTCCACTCCTAGTCTTTCATTTTAAAATATGTATGGGGGGATGGCAGATGGCGAGGTGATTAAGGGTGCCCGACACCCACATGGCCACCAGCGGTTCTCGAGTCCCAGACCTGGCAGCTTGCTTTCTCACTCTTTCTTTCTCCCTCCTCCTCCCCTCCTCCCTCCCTCCCCCTCTCTGGTCAAATTAAAACAAGTAAATACAGTTAAGTGAAATAATTAGTTTAAAAAATATGTATAGAGGGAAGCTTTAAGTCAGCTTCATTTGGGTCAGAGATAAGAGAACTGTCCTGGAACACCATGGAGTAGGATTAGATTGTCTCCAGGTGGAGGCTGTGGAGGGATGAAGGCTCCTTGGCACAAACCAACTCGTGTGATAGTCTCTCTCTGCTTTCCTTAGAAAGATTGCTCATAGGGCCACAGGAGAAAGGTGTTAAACTGAACTAAATTGAAGTAAGCAGACCTCTGTACTTGGGTAACACATTTGACCCAAAGTAGTCTCGGTATGTAATGAACTGAAACCCAGCTTGATGTACAAAAAAATTGTAATCTAACGTAAGAGTATTCCCTGGTAAACTAGAAACCCATCCTCAGCCAATCACAGTAGCCAAGCTTTAGTCAGTCACAGGCTGCCAGCTGATCGCCACCACCATATAAGGCAAATGCCAACTGGAAGCAACCAGGCTAGCTTTTCATACAGCTTTCTCACGTGTGGTAGAGTGGAGCTTTTGAACCAACTTCCCAGGAATGCTGCTTGGTTCTGGAACCTGTCTTTTGATCAATTAAACCCCTAAATTTAACTGGGTTCAGGTTTTTCTTTTGACCTAAGTAAGGGATAATCTTCAATGGTGTCAACCAAAGGAACACCACCATTTTCCAAGTTCAAATGTTGAGACATATTTCCTTTTAAGACTATGTCACCTATGTGAGAAAGAGAACTATTATAAATGCCTTAGTGTGCCAATCCAGTCCTGGTGGTAGCACAAATGTACAGGTGGCATCTGAATTTGTATAGATTTGGAAGACCATGATCACATTTCTTTGCTGGGAAGTGATTCTCATTTTACCTGCTTTTACAGGGGCAGTTTCTGATTAGAGTTGACATCATTTGCTGCAGAGAACGAGCAAGAAGGAAAAAAGGAAAAGGAAAACATTTGTGAATTGTTTAAATTATTGAAAGTTATTAATGGTGATTCTATAGTTACAGATACATGTAGAAATAGTTCTGGAGACAGGTGTCTCGTGACCTAGTGGTTGGCAGTGCTAGATCCCACATTACTGTGATACAGTCCCAACCCAGCTTGAGATACACACAGGTGTGTGTGTGACTGCTCCAAATCCCGACATGATGAAGAAATGGGAAAGGGATAGCAGCATGACCATGCCCCATTGGGAGTGTCTTCTTTCTCTCATTCTCCCTTTCTCTGGAAAGCTCCCTCGGACAATTTAAAAAAAAAAAAGCCTTGGGAGAAATGTGTCTGTGGCAGATGAAGACAATTAAGATGTGAGCAAATTTCAACAAAAGACACCAAGGTCCAAGAAGTGAGAAAATGAAACATAACTTTGCTAAAACAGCAGGGATTAGTTGCCAATTTTTTTTTTTTTTGAGAGAGATTTTTGCTATAGGGCACATGTGCTCACCAGAGAGACAGAAAGGAAGCAAGAAACCACCCCCCCCAGGGGGGATGGCCATGCCACAATCCCTTTTCCTCCATTCTCCTCTCGGGATCCACCAGAGACACATACAAGCGCCTAGTGTGGAATTATTTATTTATTTATTTATTTATTTATTTATTTATTTATTTTTGGAGAGGTTTTTGCTATAGGGCGCGTGTGCTCACCAGACAGAGAGAGACATAGAGACAGCAAGTGAGAAATCACCCCCCAGGGGGGATGGCCATGCCACAATCCCTTCTCCTCCATTCTCCTCTCTGGATCTTAGGCATGCACGCACACGCGCCTGGCGTGAGTTTTAAGCCACCGGGTCCAGGATGCGAACCGCGGTCGACTATGTGGGAGTCCAGCGACATAGCCATTACACTAACTGCTGGTCCCGTTATTATTTTAGAGAGATTTTTGCTGTAGGATATGTGTGCTCACCAGAGAAACAGAAAGACAGAAAGTGAGTAATTTCCCCCAAGGGGGGATGGCCACACCACAATCCCTTCTCCTTCATTCTCCTCTTGGGATCTTGGGCATGCATGCACACGCGCCTGGTGTGAGTTTAAGCCACTGGGTCCAGAACTTGAACCGCAGTCAACTATGTGGAAGTCCATCAACATAACCACTGCATCATCTGCTGCTTCCCATTTTTTTTATTCTTGAAATTAAAATTAAAATAATTTTTAATCTTGAAAATACTACCTGCTTTGAGGAAGAATTGAGACATTTAGAAAGCACTGCCAGAATTGTGAAGATGAAGAGATATTTTGTAGTATTATGCTTATTCATGACTCTAACAAATATTCAGTGAACATCCGTGGCAATTCAGGTACTAGGTACTATCTTTTTTTTTTTTTTTTTTTCTTGTAGAGGTTTTTGCTACAGGGCACGTGCACTCGCTAGAAAGTCAGAGAGAGACAGAGAGACAGAAAGCGAGAAATCACACCCCAGGGGGGTTGGCCATGCTGCAATTCCTTCTCCTCCATTATCCTCTTGGGTGGTATCTTGAGCATTCACGCACATGTACCTAGCGTGAGTTTAATCCGCAAGGTCCAGGACTCGAACAACAGGAGTCCAGCGACATAACCATTATGCCAACTGCTAGTCCCCTAAGGTCGAATTTATAATCTCTATAATCTTAAAGATCTAATAAATATGATTATGCTATCATTTGAATTTGTCCCCTGAAAATTTGTGTTTCGAGAACCATTGTAATGGAATTGATCCAGTTGCGGTGTTAAAAGGTGGAGTTCTAGGATCAGCAGATGGCATACTGGTTACTTCATTGAACTCCCACATAGTTGGAGTTTAAGTCCCAGACCCAGTAGCTTGAAACTCATGTTGGACATGTGTGAGTGTGTAAGCAAAGGCCCAAGAGGAGAATGGAGAAGGGATTGCGGCATGGCCATCCTCCTTGGGGGG